GGTTCCTAACCATCCCTAAATTCCAGTTCTGGGGTATTCAATGGCTTCTTTTGACTTCTGGGCACCAGGTGTGCACATGGTGCATACATCCATGTAGACCACATATTACCACACTATGCAACAGCATACAAAGCATTCATGTCTTCTGCTAAGAACTGGGGTGGGGATGATGAAATTGTGCTTACTAAGGCTCAAATCCAGAATCATGACAGCTAAGCATAAATGTTTTGTAACTGAAGAGGATCCTTATCATTTAGCTTTTAGCTTTGATGTGTAAGGTCAGCCTGACTCTGTAGCCCTGGCTGTCCTGGAACTCAGAGACCCACCTATATCTGCCTTCTTGGGATTAACCACCTTTTTATCTGTTAAAGATTGGGAGGGGGGGAGGAAAGAAGACACTGGTCTTCTTTGGACTGCTGGTCCAAAGCTGTGAGGACAGACACAGAGCACACACCACCTGCCTGCAACCCCACTCTTTAAACAGTAGGATCCAGGAGCTCACTGGATGGCCAGCCTTAGCAAGTAGGAGAGCCTCTTAACTGAAAGGGCCAGAGGAAGACACTAGAAATCCCAACATGAGAATACACAAAAAGACACAAAGAAACATATGAAGCTGTTTAATTAGGTTGATAGCAAGTTAGAAAACCAGTTTGTGAGGATACATCCCGTTTGTCAGAGAGAACTGAGACCGCAGGTAGCCCTGAAGCTGAGGAACAGCTTTGATCTTTGGCAAAAGCTGCGAGTCCACGGTTTTCTGATCAGCCTTGCGCTGCTCTGTAATCTCGTATTTCTAAAGAGAGAAAGGGAAGCATTTAGAACCAACACTCCCTAGAAATAGTCCTACTTCTCAGGGCTGATAAAGCAAATCATAACCCTCCCCCAGGGCTGTCTACTAAGGGTACATAATCAAGGACAACCAAGGTCACACTTGCCACCTACAACAATCTCACATCAGGCTGTTACATCCTCACCTCCTTCTCTGTGTCGAAGATCTCACCCTCCTGGTGCCTGGGCTTGCGTAGCTGCTTCTTCTTGAAGTAAGCATCAGTCAGGTGTTTGGGAATCTTAACTTTACTGATATCAACTTTTGTAGAGGTGGCGATGACAAATTTCTGGTGTGTTCTTCGCAGAGGAACTCTGTTAAGGGCAAGAGGTCCTGAAAGAAATATTTAACTTATATAAATCAAAGCTTGAAAGAATTAACACTGAACAATTAAGATTTAGTCTGCACATGGTGGCACATGCCTTAATTTCAGGAGAGGAAGGCAGATCTCTAGAGTTTGAGACCAGATTGGTCTACATGAGACCCTGTTTCAAACAACAAAAAAGGTTAGTTGGAGCATGAGGGCAGAGTTAAAGAGATGGTTCAGTGGTTAAATAATGGCCACTGTTGCAGGACCCTCAATCAGACTCCCAGCACCCACAGAGGGCCCACAACTGATTAGTGTGGAAATACCATCTGCTCCCGAAACGGCCTACCCAGGGCTTCTCTTCTCTCACCCTACCTTTTCAAGGGACCCAGGAATGAAGACCATCTTTTACACAGGCCAGCTGAAATCTGTCTGGAACCATTCCCCCCTCCCCCCGTTGTCCCTGAGATCTGCCTGCCTCAGCCTAAATTCAGTGATTAAAAGGTATACTCCTTACCACCCAGCCATCATTCACTTTGTACCTGTCTACACAACCCTCATGCCACATGCTATCTGAGTCACACTGTTATCAAAACTTGCAGCAGAGGGCAGCACTTAGAATCTAAGTGCCAAGTGAGAAGTGAGTGCTGCTCTACTTAGTGCAGTGTATACTGCATTTGTATGTGCCATGTCACAGCACACCATGGGAGGGGAGGCTTGCACAAGTCCTTTACTATGTAGGTTCCAGGGACCAAACTCAGGCTTTCAAGCACTTTTATTCATCCACCAAGCCATCCTAACAGTCAAAGATATGTCCTTGCTCTAAATTAAACCCAGACCATGATAAAATAAATGAACAGTGAGTTCCTGGTGAGCAGGAAGGCCTGAGCTGTCTGTCCTCTGACCTCACCATGGGCTATATAATGTGTACCTCCTGTCACAAAAAAATGTATGTTAAGGAGGTTTGCGTCTCAATTTCACAGCAGGAAAGCCAAGGCAGGGGGAGTGCTTTAAGTTTGAGGCTACCTGGAGCTACATGTCAAGCCTTGTCCTAAGCCAGGATCAGTGGCTGGCACTTGCAATCTCAACACGCAGCAAGTACAAGGACTAGGACAAAGTTATGCTGAGCTCCATAACATCCTGTCAAAACAAAATACACTCAGGATTTTCTTACCTGTCACAAGTAGCAAGCCGCTATCCAGCTGCTTCAGGAAAACCACTCTCTGCAAGTGAAACAGAAAATGACATTCAGCAATTGAATCCCGACTTCCAAATTAACCAAAGCACAAAGCTGGTAAAGGTCAAGGCAGCGGTTCTCAACCTCCTAATGCTGCAACTCTTTAATACACTTCCTCGTGTTGTGGTGACCCCCAACACAAAATTGTTGCTTAATTGTAATTTTGCTGTTATGAATGTAAATATCTAATATGCAGATGGTCTTAGGTCATCACAAAGGGGTCAAAACCCACAGATTGAGAACGGCTGGTCTACAGGTGGCACTACACATACACACTACAACCCAGCACTTGAAAAACAGAAGGGGGAGGATCATGGATGGTAGCTTAGCCTTGCCAAAATTTTGAGGAAAAAACAAATTCCAAGCAACAAAAGGCAATTTCTACCCATACACAATCCAGCTAGTCTACGGGAAAAAAAATTCATACCCAATTCACATCATGCATATATAAAGGTGAAACTTGTTATCAGAAAGTATTTCTGATCAGAAAGTATTTTTATTTAAAATAAAAAAAATCAGGACGTACTAAGCAAGCAAGGACTAGGCTCTGCTGAGTGACAGGAACACCAATCACCAAAGAAAGCAATCTATTATGATCCAGCATCCTGTGGGACACTACTTACCTTGCCTCTGTGGCGCCCGGTGAGGATGATCAGGACTGTCCCAGGAGTGATGCTGGCACGAAGCTTTCTCACATGCTGACTGAAGGGCTTTTTGCCATGGCTCAACAGCTTCCGGGGAACATCTTCAGTAGGGTAATACCGGGGCTGGAGAAGGGTACACACACACTTAAGAAGGCTGCTCATAGCCGAGTGTTGGTGAATACCTTTAGTCCCCAGAACTCAGGAAGAGGCAGGTGGATCTACAGACTGAGTTCCAAGACAGCCAAAGTTACACAGAGAAACCCCGTCTTTAAATACGTAAAAGACTCATATTAGCAGGGTTGAATTGTAAACTCCAGCAACATAGAATGTAACTTCAAACCTGGGACAGCCCCTCTAAGCCAACCTTATGTTTTTGGGTTTTCTTTTTTTAAGTGTTTCTCTGTAGACCAGGCCGCCCCTGAACTATCTATCTGCCTCGGTCCCTCGCAAATAATGGGATTAAAGGTATGCCATAACACCTGGCTTAAGATTCACTTTAAATTATGTTTACACGTCCCCGTGCATGCACATAAGTGCAGGTGTACAGGTCAGCACAGAATAACCCCTGGAGTTGGGAGTTGCAGGTGTTTTTGACAAGCCTGTGGTGGATGCTGTTAACAGAATTCAGACTCTTTAATGAACAGTATGTGCCCTTAACCACCGAACCATCTCTCCAGCACAAGCTTTTTTATTTTGTTTTTCCAGAATGCTGGGATAAAGGCACGTGCCACCACAGCCCTGCTTCTTAAGCTGTCCCTAAGGTCCCTGATTTCCAATGTACCTCTTCAGAACATCTCAGCCAAATATGGGGGAGGCCGGGTAACAGGGAATTTCATGTCAGCTTAGGCCCGAGACTCTTTTCTCGAGCACAATACCAACGGGGAGGGGGGAGAGACATGGTGTTTTCTCATCAAGATTTTATCTCCTAGCTAGGCAGACTCCCAGCAGCAGAAACACAACTTACACCCATTTTTCCAGAGGAAAACACCAAGAAACAAAATGGAAATCGTGTTATATTAACTGACACAGTCCCCACTTGCACTGAACACGCCAGAACTTGGGTGTGCCAGACCCACGCTGAACCTATTCTAAGTATACCAAACTAATCCATCCACTCTTTCTCAGACAAGCTTCAACCCAATCCTGAGAAAATAAATACAACTAGCAAGCAAGGCCAACAGTCTGGAGCCATGTCTCTTCCAGCAGTCTGGCAAATAAAAACCCACATCTCCAACCATCATCCAAAATTTCCATTTATCCCCCACTTCCTCCAGATCTTACCATTTTTCGAAGCTTAACCACCCGGGTACCACCATTCTTGTCACCACCAACCGGTTTGGTGACGGTAGCAAGGACCTTCTCCTTTTTCTTCTTCTTTTCAACCTACGAAGACAAAGCCATCAGGGAGTGTGACAGACCACGACGATGAAAGCGTAGGGGTGGGGTGTTTCCCTCTGCTTTCCTACCTTAGTCTTTGCAGCTGAGTATTTTCTTTTGTACAGGGCTTTTCTGGAATACATGGCAGATCGGGAGTACCTGCCAATCCCTCTAACCAGGACAGGGTTCCGGCTGCAATGCGGCTTCCCCTTCTTGGGCTTTTTAACCTTAGGCTCACCCTTTTTGGCTGCATTGGCAGCAGGGGCACCTGCGGCATCACCGCCAGCCTTCTTGGCTGCAGGCTTTTTCTCTTTTTTGTCAGGCTTCTCGGCTTTTTCACTCGCCATCTAGTGATGCAAAAAAAAAAAAATACCAAATTATAATAAAGGAGGCATCTCTTCAACCATCTATAACAAGCCAGCACCAAAACCAAGCCCTCTGCTTGCAACCCTTCTTCCCGAAGGACACACACGCGAATGTCTAGCACCCTTAATAAAGATTTGGTTCATTATTTTATTCTTCCATTTTGTGAATCAGAAAAATCTAAAGCAGTCTTTGGCAGAGTCTACAAAGCAAGAAGGGGCCCCTGCTCCAAAGCCTGTTTTCCCTTTTTATTGTGCGACCCACTTCAGTGCGGTGGCCTACAGGCAGAGACCAGGCAATGGTTCGGGGCCGCGGGTTGCTCTAGCACGGGACACTATGACAGGCCCAGGGAAACGGGGCTGCCATAAATCCAAACCCGTGCAGCTGCTCCTAACTTTTAAGACCACTTTCTCTGGGGTCGCCTTAGGGTCCCGGTGGCACTATGTCCCCAACTTTGCCGACAAGGCAACAAGCGGCACTCTCTGGACGACTTCCGGGGGAGTCTGGGAAGCCGTTTCTCGCTCCAGCCGCAAAAGCCAACGTGGCCGGGGCGAGCTCTGCGGAGTTTTTGGAACCCCGGACCCGGCTTCGGGGACGCACGCCACCGCACGGGCCCCTCTAAGACTCCCGAGACTACGGCGGCCGGCAGGGCCCGGCGGCCGTCTCCGGAGCTATGCTCGCTCTTCGCCCTCCTCCAACCCACGCCGACACGAATGAAGCTCCCGAAAGACCTGGCGAGTGACCTCGACCATGGCGGGCCATGAGTGATGGCCCTCGAACCTCCTCCGCCTTCGGATGGACGAGGATTGCGGTGCCGAAGGCGGCTCTCACACAGACGCCTGCCATTCCTACCTTGCAAGATGGGAAAGAGAACTAAGGTCCCTGCTTCCGGTCTATAAGCAATGACGGAAGGTGTCCAAGATCACTTCCTTCCTGTATGGGACATCATGGGAAATGTAGTTTTTCTTATACTGGGGCCACTGCAACATGTCCTGACTGGGCACCGATTTTCCTTAAGAGGTCAGGGCAGACAACATGGTTTAAGATGGCTCAGCGAGTAAAGGCACTATCCGCCAAAATTATGATCAGAGTTTGATTCTCGGACTTTACAGAACGGACTTTACAGAGTTGTTCTCTGACCTCCATGAACGCGCACATACAAAATGATAATTTTTAAAAAATGAAATTTAAACCGGGCATTGGTGGCGCATGCCTTTAATTTCAACACTGGAGAGGCAGAGGAAGGCAGATTTCTGTGAGGCCAGCCTGGTCTACAAGAGCTAGTTCCAGGACAGCCTGTAAAGCCACAGAGAAATCCTGTCTTGAGAAAACAACAAATAAATAAATAAATAAATAAAATTTAGGGCCGAAGAGATGGCTCAGGGGTGAAGAGTACTTCCTGTTCTTCCAGAGGTCCAGAGTTCAATTCCCAGAAACCACACAACATGGTGGGTCACAACCATCTGTAATGAAGTCTGGTGCCCTCTTCTGGCCTGCAGGGATACATGCAGACAGACCACTGTATACATAATAAGTAAATATGATAGGAGGAGGTGGAAAAGGCGGTCCCAGCACTCGGGAGGCAGAGGCAGGCGGATCTCTGTGAGTTCGAGGCCAGCCTGGTCTACAGAGAGAATTCCAGGAAACAACCCAAAAACAAAAAACATAATATCTATGCTACTTCCTGATTCAAATTTGTATTGTCTTAGATTTGTCTGTTTCCTATTGTTAGCAGTAGGAGCTTTTCACTTGGATTTCTGTGTGTGTGTGGGGGGGGGGGTTGTGCATGTGGAGGTCAGAGGACAATTTACAGGAATCAATTCTGTAGTTCCAGGGATGGAACTCAGAGCTTTGTGGCCAGCACCTGTACCCACTGACCTATGCTCTTGGCCCTTCACTATGATTCCTTCAGCTCCAAAACTTCTGCTTCATGGCTGAGTTTCCAGGAATCCCTTAGCCTTTCTCTGGCTAACTAAGGTGACACGACAGTGATGAGGTGCCCCTTGAGACACCAAAGACCACACAGGAGAGCTGGGAAAGACATATGCCCCTATGCCTCAGAGCAGGAACCAATCTGATTCCCTCTTCCTTGCCGACCCCGTTTGGTTTTTCAAGACAGTGTCTCTCTCTGTAGACCAGGCTGGGCTCTAAGGTACAGAAATCTGCCTGCCTCTGCCTGTCAAGTACTGGGATCAAAGGCATTCCCAGCTTCAAACTGATTAGCAGTGATTGTAATTCTTTTTTTTTTTTTTTTTTTTTTTTTTTTTCTTTTGAGACAGAGTTTCTCTGTAGATTTGGAGCCTGTCCTGAAACTCACAAAGATCCACCTGCCTCTGATTCCTGAGTGATAGGATTAAAGGTGTGTGCTACCATTGCCCGGCCGAATGATTGATCATATTTTATGGCAATTGAGGATCATTTGCTGTTTAGGTACAGTGTCAAGGAGAAGCTTTGACACCTCTCTCTTTCTCTCTTTCCGAGAATGAGAATGTTAGCCCTGTCTTTAATATTCTATAATTTAGCTAGTTAGTGTGTGTATGATGCATGTTCAGGTTTGCGGCTGTATATGAGTGTGCACAGAGCCCATGCATGATGTTTGGAGGCCAGAAGATTATCCTACCCGAGTACTCTGCCTGGCAGGATCTCTTTCTGAACCTAGCTCATTCGTTTTGGAAGGGGTTGGTTAGGAGGCTCCAGGGGTCCTCCTGTGGCATATCACTGCCGACGACCCAAATGCAGGTCCTCATGCTGGATTTTCCCCACTACGACCTCTTCTCAGCCCCTCAGCACCTGTATTCCACCGTTTTCTAGAGGAAAGTACTTCTCGGTAGTGATATTTTCTTTGTAATCTAACGAATAAAGATTGCTTGAAGATCAGAGTGCAGAGCTATGCCACTAATTAGCCATACACCTAAGCCACTAGTTAGCCATAGAGGACGGGCAGTGGTGGCCACTTTTAATCCCAGCACTCAGGAGATGGTGGCAGGTGGGTCTCTCTGAGTTCAAGGCCACCCTGTGCTACAGGAGAGTTTATCAGTTTGAAAGACTAACAGAGCTCACACCAGCACTTGGGATGACACACCTTTAATCCCTGCACTAGAGAGCAATATAAGGCAGAAGCTCAGGGCAGTCTGAGATTTAGTGGAGAGCATTGCAGTCTGCAGTTACACTGAGAACAGGTTTGCCTCTCTGTGGTTTTACTTAGCCTTGGTAGAGGTAAGAACTCTCTAATGCCTTGGCTGCTTTGCTTTTCTGATCTTCAGGCAAGCTTTATTTGTTAGATTACAAACAAATATCACTACACGTCTCAGTAGCTGTTGTTACAGAACGTGACATTGAAGTACAGATTTGCTCACTTGAGCCCCTCCAAACCTTGGGACTACAGACTCAGTAAGAGACTCATGCTAGAACAGTTGTGTAGTGTCTTCAAGGCCTGCAATTCCATCCCCCAGCCTCCCACAGGGAAGGAAGAAAGAAAGGAAGGGAGGAAAGTGGGAAGGAAGGAAAAGAAGGAAGGAAGGTCTGACAATGTCAGTCTTGAAAACTAGACATGTTAAATGATCTGTTAAAGTAAAAGCATAACTGAGCTCCCTCTTGTGCTTGATTGTGGTATTGCAGAACATACAAGTATAAGGTTAAAAATTAATTTAATTCCTTGTTCTAAGTTTTTGAGACAAGATCTTGCTGTGTAGCCCTGGCTACCTCAGAGCCCTTTATGTGGATCAGGCTGGCCTCAAACTCCCAAATACCCTCATGCCTCTGTCTCCCAAATGCTGGAATTAAACGTGAACCACCACATACAGTACCAGGTTTTTCTTGTTTGTTCTGTTTCTCTAAACAGGGTTTCTTGTGTAGCTTTGGAGCCTGTCCTGCAACTCACTCTGTAGATTAAGCTGGCTCATAGAAATGTACCTGCCTCTGCCTCCCAAGTGTTGGGATTAAAGGCGTGTCTTTAATGAAATAAGAGGAGAGTTCTGATGAGATGGTCCAGCACTCGCTGCTCCTGTAGAGGACACAAATCTGGTTCCCAGTGAGTAAAGCAGAACATTTGTGGAGGTCAGAGGACAACGTGTGAGAGTTGACTCTCTTTACATTTTGTGGGTCCGAAAGACTGAGCTCTGATCAGACTTGGCAGCGAGTATATATTGAACCATTTTGTTGGTTCCCGTATTTTGTTTGTTTTAGATTTATTTATTTACCTTTGTGTGTGTCTGAGTGTATATCTCTCTACCTACCTAGATATCTATCTATCTAGATGTTGTGCCCCCTGGGACTGGAGTTACAGTTGGCATGTGGATTCTGGGAACTAAACCCAGGTCTTCTGAAAGGGCAGTGCATTAATCAGAGTTCTCTAAATTAACAGAACTTATAGAACGTACCTCTCTGTGTATACAGAAAGGGGATTTATTAGAATGGCTTATAGGCTGTGGTCCAGCTAATCCAACAATGACTGTCTATGAGTGAAAGGTCCAAGGATCCGGTAGTGATTCAGTCCTTGAGGCTGCATGTCTCAGCTGGTCTCCAGTATGTGCCAGAACCCTGAAGAAGAGACTCGCGGACCAGTGGAGGAATGGGCTTGCCAGCGAGAAGAGGGCAAGAGGCTGTGAGCAAGAGCTTTCTTCTTCTGTGTCCTTTATATCAGCCATCAGCTAAAGCTGTGGCCCAGATCAGAGGTGTGTCTTCACATTTCAAAGATCTGGGTCACAATGGCTCTCCCCATGCCAAATCATCCGACCCCGTAAATGTCCCTTGCAGGTGTGCCCAGCCATTTTTGGGTTTTAGTTCATTTGAGATATAGTCATGTTGATGATCAAAAATGGTCCTCAAAGATAGTAAGGGTTTGTTTTTTTTAACCTTGGAGCTGTCTCCACAGACTCTGCTTTTTGTTTCCTGAGACAGAATTTTGTTATGTAGCCTCAGCTAGACTGGCCTTGCTAAATAGCCCAGGCTGCCCTTGAATTCTCAGCGATCTTCCTGCCTCAGGCTGGTAGGTGCTGTGTATCTGGTTTAAAATAAACATTTTAATCATTTGGCTTTAAGTCAAGGAAGATCTGTTGCTTTCACAGTTGAGTAAGAAATCCAAATAAAGGCCAGGCGGTGGTGGCCCACATTTTTACTCCCAGTAGTCCAGGGGGATGGGGAGTAGAGCGCAGAGGCAGGCGGATCTCTGTGAGTTTGAGAGGCCAGCCTGGTCTATGGTCTACAAAGCAAGTTCTAGAACAGCCAGGACTGTGTCATAGAGAAACCCTGTCTCAAAAACAACCAAAAAAAAAAAAAAAAAAAAAAAAAAAAAAAAAAAAAAGAAAGAAAGAAAAAAAAAGAAAGGAATCCAGCCAGATAAGATTTTCTCATTAAGCAGCCAAGGCTGACCTGGAAATTGCT